AGAATATTATTAACTGAAGGTGCTTTCTTTAGAAAATGTATATTAGATTATATGTTAGTATTATAATGTACGTATATATTAGTATTATATGTTTCGGACAGAAATATGCTTTCATTAGTTGTATTTTCAATTTCTTCCCCTTTTCAAGTCCATTGTGAATTTGCAGACTTTTAGTAAATGTATTAAAATTACAGAACACTTCGGTTTACGTTACAGGATCTATCTTTGGGTAGTGAGAAAGCAAATTGTATGGAAAGACCACGTTAGGTTTAGAAGCCATTTTGAATTTGAAGGGGTCAATTGTATTACTTTTTGGTGGCCTCGCCGCAATCATTGACGTCGTCGGCATTGGCGTCGTCGGCTCGGTATCGTCAACGTTATCATCATCATCATCATCATCATCATCATGGAAGCTTCAGTTGGTTTGGAAGACTGTCTTTCGTCCCTCAGTATAAATCGTTTAAACTAATTACTTTATTCCTTCTATCTGTGAGTATTTCCAGAGTTCGTCTTTGGTGTGTATGTGAGCACTCAGTATGGTGGTGATCTTGTAAGTAACCCTTGCTCCATGGCGCATTGAGATGGGTATTGAAAGCAGTCTACTGCAGTTGATCAGAGGAAATCCCAGGGATCTCAGCAGAAAGTCTAAAAGGTTGACATCAGCATCAATCCGACTATTGAACTGGCAGCTCGGATTACGAGATTCGAATGCGGCATCTCGCCACATACGTTGTAGGTGATTCAGCATTCGCAACCGCATACCTTTACTCAGTACCTATTACATATCTCCCAAGTGTCTCCATCTTCAGTGTTCCTTCTCTACTTTTATGATGAGTTCGACTCGTTCTTTCTACTTCTGTATTCATAAAATTGAACCGTCTGTTTGAGATTTCAGAATAATTACCTCTCGACAATCTCGTATGTTCATTACATGATCAAAAAGCTCATTCGTTTTTTTCTCAATGTTTGTTTGATCGGAGGTATTTTTTTAAATGCTTCGCAGATTCTGATAGGGTTTTCACTAAATGGTATTTTTATGACATAATTTAGATTATCTGTTTTCTGATCATTTTTTACTTTCTCGTAAAAGTACGTATGATATGTCAAAAAAGGAATGTTTGTTTGCTTGGTTTATAAAAACAGCAAGTTTCATCTATCTAAATGAATTTTTATACAGTCGACCTTTAAAAGAAGTGAATAATTACTGTCTTCATTATATGTTCTAAAAAAATCCTCCCTTAATGTATGCCTTCCCTGCCTTCATCTAGCCTTTCAGTGAGTTTTCCTTTGTAAGTAAATCTCTTAATAAAATGTAAAATCAGAATAGAATAAAAAATACTAGTAGAACAATACCTCTCTGAATCATCCATCATTTTAAAGCACGTAAAATCTAAAAAAAATGAATAACACGTACAAAACGCCATTTCCTACTCGTCCGGCACTCCATTTGAACCGTCCAAGAGACGGGTACTTAAGAAAGAGGCTCCCGTTTTCTTAAGCTGCCAAGTCGATGAGAAGCTCCACTGTAATTCGCTTAATTACCTGCGGTTACGATAGCTCCGTATGACCTCGCCAAAGGCTTTTCGCGGAAGCCGCTCTCGCGCGCCGCGGGGAGGCGTAATTACGCCCCTTATCACTGGACGGCGCTCGCGCAGATGAGAGCGAGGGCCCGGCGGCGTAATAGAAAAGCGCGCGGTGGCAGGGGATGGGCTTGCCACTGCCGCCGCTCCTGCGCCGCTGCCTCAACCGCCAGCCCAGCTCCACCGACGTAGCCACCGACAAGGCCACCGACAAGCCAACTACACCGGCAAAACACCAACCCGGACACCTTAGCCAACAACTCTGGCTTCCTACAAATCGAACCCAAGTACACCTACAAAACCCACTACTCCGACACCTTCTACAAAGCCAACTTCGCTGTCAAAGCCACTGACTCCAACAAAGCACCAACCCGGACACAGATGCCAACAAAGCCAACGACATCAAGAAAGTCGCCGACACCAAAAAAGCCGCTGACCAAAACGCCGACACCAAAAAAGCCACTGACACCAACAGAACCCAACTACGCCTACAAAATTAAGGACTTCGACACCTACTACAAGCCAACTACACCGACAAAACACCAACCCGGTCACCTTTACCAACAAAGCCAACAACTCTGGCTACTACAAATCCAACGACACCGGCAGCTAAGAAAAGCTAACGTGACCGACACGTACAAAGCCAACGACATCGTCAAAGTCGCCAAAAGCCACTGACAAAATAACACCACACTGGCTCCTATAAAGCCAACGACACTGACACTCACACCGACAAGCCAGCTAGACATCGACTTGACAATGTCCCAGTGTTGATCTTGTCATCCGACGAACTTGGTAACAACTCAACATTGATTTCGGCGTTGACGCTGATACAGCAATTAGTACGCATCCGTCACTGACTGACAATCACGCCGCCTCACAGCCGGTGCCGCTGCCGGAACTGTGAGCAAGCAATGTTAGCCGCTTCCATTACTATTAACTCTTCCACCGCAACCGTTACCACCATCACTACCATTACCACCACAACTATAACGACCATCACCATCACTACAACCACCTTTCTTCATTAGTTGGCACCACACCCTCACCTCGGAGACGTGCCTAGGACGAGGAGAGACATGTCTGATTGAAAATCGTTCTTCACTGACATCTCTTTTTCTGAGTCTTTCTTGCAGAATACGTAGTATTTGGAATTGAAGTCTAATAGTTATCAACTCACGTTATGAGAGATCTCGTTTTCCTTTGAACCCATACGGATCCGAAATAATGGTAATCAGTTTATTAAAAATGCAACGGTTATTATCTTCAGGTTTACTCAATTTCCATCCCATACGCAAGCAAGCATATGAAACAAATTTCATTTAGTTTTCGCTCCTTTGCCAGTGTTACTCAGAAGCACACTTTGTTTGTAACTTCTTTGTGTGACCTAGTAGCGTCACCGCCTGATTAGACTAACTAAATAAAAATCTAAAAAAAGGGTCATCTTCGACATCTGTAAACTCCACATCACATGACATCTAGGGACCTCCAAAGTAATTAATGAATCGATCATCATTCGTACGTTACGGAGGAGTTAGAAACATTAGTACAGTGGGTGGAGGCAGTCAATTAGAACTGGAGATGATGCAAATGGTGATGGCGAGTTTGATGAGTTGTGATGGATGGGAGGAATGGTATGCTTTTCAGAAGTAGTGGCAATGACATAAGTAATGAAGTTTAGGACTGTTCAGAAGATGGCGGATCTAATACAAATGGCTGAAGTGGTATTGGCAGTGGCGGAATCGGTTGTTGAGCTGAGGGAGGTGGTGGGAAGGCAGCAATCATGACGGTGAGGAGACGACGGTGAGGAGGCGACGGCTGCGGCAGCGATGAACGCGACGGCGTGGAGGCGGTGGAGCAGTTTAGATTACTTCGGAGGGGACGACAGCGGCAAAGCCGGTGAAATCAAGCGGTAAGGCTGCGAAAGGCGATGGGGGCGATTTTGTAGTGGTTGCGGGGTTATGGAGGAGGCGGTGCGGAGGCGCTGGGGGTGGGACGAGTGGTTGACGTGGGCCGTGGGTGATGGCGGGAGCGGCACCTGTGAAGGCGAGGTAAGAGGCGGTGATGGCGAAGGCGTAGGTGAAGACTAGTGGGGTGGCGGAGATGGAGGCGGAAGGCAATGGCCGTCGGAGGAGAGATGCCGATACAGAGGGGTGGTGGCGGAGACGGTGTTTTGGCGGAGGTGGAGGCGGAGATGGAGGCGAGGGGGCGGGCGGAAGCGGTGGAGGGGACGTGGCGGAGAAGGTGAAGTAAGTGGCGAATGGAGGCGGAGGTATTGGCGGTGGAGGAGGATATGCCGATGCAGAGGTAGAAGCGTGTGGAGATTAGCACAGTGGCTAGTGGAGGGCGGCGATGGTGGCGGTGCGCCAGCGGCGGCCTGGCGGTGCGCGGCGGAGGTAGCGTAGGCGGAGAAGCTAGGCGGAGACGTAGGCGGAGACGTAAGGCGGAGACGTAGGCGGAGACGTAGCGGAAGACGTAGGCGGAAACGTCAGAGCCGGAAACGTAGGCCGGAGACGTAGGCGGAAGTAGCGGAGAACGTGGTCGAGCGGAGACGTAGGCTGAGACGTACGGCAGAGACGTAGGGCCGGAGGAGGAGGTCCGGAGGCGTGGAGGGATGGAGGCGGTTGGCGGATGCGGATGCTGAGGCCACGGAGGTGGCGGGTGGCTTGGCGGCGGCAGGGCCGGCGGGTGCGTGGCGCTCCTCGCCGCCGCCATTTCTCACCGCGCGCGCCGCCGTAACTCGGCGAGTCTGCGGGCGGCGCCCGAGGGAGGAGGTATTCAGGGAAAGGGGAACAAAACAGCGTGACAGGGGAGGCGGATAATAGTATATTGTGGGGAGAAGAGATACAAAGCAACGGAAAACTATTCAAGATCTCAGAGAAATGGGGTGCAGACTGCTGCTGGAACTGACGTGAGATACAATATGTTGCAAAGAAAAATGTTCATGTTTTGTTACTCACGACCGATGTCTGGTAAGGAACCTTTTGACCAACCTTCTGGCATGAACTGCACTGCTAATTGTTTGGTACCTCTCTACGTTATTACTAACACGCGTGAGTTTGGCAAAAAAAAAATTTATTTGATGATATTATGGCTTTTACGGCAGCGATCAGTCAATTGTACTTCTGGAATTGTTTTAGTATATTTGCATTTTGCTTGTTCTGGCTATTGAATTTTCTGATGCTGATTGTTGGAGTTTTGCGTTATTTGTTCTTTCTTCTGCTTTTTTTGTCATTGCTTTGCTGTTTTTCTCCTGCCACCAATGTCTATCAATCTTGAAATATATCTGGAAGCCTGTACAGTTTGAAGGTACGGTTGTGTTTTGTCGGAGGCTCCAGGATCAAGTGCTGTTGCAATTTGTACCAAAATCTGTACCAAAATGTTGATAAAAAATAAGTTTCATTGTTCATAATGCAAATTGATAGTGTCCAATACTCTACATCAGTCCGATCCCCCTGCCTCAAAACAATACCGCTTAAGTCTTGGCTGGGGATTGCCGACCATTAAAGTATGATACTTCTGTTTAAAATTCAGAATCATGAAAAGTTGTCCTGTTTTCTCATGTTTCCGTACACATCTGTTTACATCGTGGCGCGGAAAGCGTCGTCCAAAAGTCGGGGTCCAGGTGAGCGTAACTGCTCGCTCGCTTCCCCGCCTCTGTAACTACAACCGCCTGCGGGAGGTAGTGAGAGCCGCCTAGCGGTGCAGGCGGCGGCAGATTGACTGACGGCGGTGGGAGCGATATCCAACCTTGCGTTGGAGCACGCTGTTTCACGCACTGAATTCGCAAAAAGAGGATTTTTAAATGGCGTAACACCCCAGTCGAAAAATAGACAAGTGTGAAAACGAACAGGTTGATAAAAACTGACGAAATGTGCTACTAATATTGGGTTCTCCAAGAATACAAGTAGTTTTGATCGGTAAAAAGTGTAGGCCGAAGTTACAATATACAGTAAATCTAGCAAGTGAGATCATGTCATTACCATTTATGTTCGAGAATGAAATGAAGAATGCTATCTGTGAATTAGATACCCTCTGATCGCATACTTCTTTGTTCTTACATTTCTCGCCGATATTGTGAGAAAACTTCCGGGAGAATTATGTGGTTAAAGTTTCTCTGCTGTTTCTCTCTGTGCAAAATCTTTCCTTTATTTTAGAATATAGTCTACCAATAGTTGACCATAAGACCACCATATCGCCAGTTTTGAAAGTACGTTCCTTCAAGGGCACAAGGGAAATGTACTTGGAATTGACAGTTGCGGTATTTAGAAGATGATTTCAGTAGGTGTGTAAATATGGGCTCGCATAAGCTGCTGGCCCGCCAGGGAATGCCGGCGCTCCTCTAAGCCCGAGCAACTTCCCCTGACTCTGCTCTCATTTCCCCTGTCAATCTAGAAAGTGGTACATACGCACAAGTGGTAGCGAGAAAGGAAAGCACAAATCCCTGTCAACTTATAACAACAAATGGTTGCTTCATTTGAAAACACAAACATGTTTCCCGGATGTGTTCATGCAAACATCCGTTATTCGAATTCTGTTTATATACTTTGTGGCTTATTACTTTATTTATTTGTTTTCTTTACTTCTTTATTTTTCCAACAGGCATGAATATGTCTGAATGGCAAATTGTTTATCCGTTTGCGTTTCGTATTGTTTTATTAAATAATTCGGTTATTTCTTGTAAACAGCAATACTATTAATGAATAAGATTTTATGTACTCTACCTCCTGTAGTAAAATATCCTCTTAAATTTATTTTACCACTCTTATCGCCGGACAACTCTTTTAACTTTTAACAGGAATCTTCGATCCAAACTGAACGTAGAAAGTTAATGAATGCAATAGTTGCACCCTTAAGTAAATGCGATTACAAAATCAAGATGCTTTCAGTTCAAAATGTTTAATTTTATTCTCAATTGATAAGTTCAAATGTGAGTGATTTATTTCATGTCAATGGATAATTTCCTGCTTTTACTGGATATGTAAAAATAATATCGCTAAAGGTCGGACAATATCTGTCAACTGACTTCTCCAAAAGACAATGGTGGGCCAGGGATCCAGTGCGTTCTCCCAAACTGAAGAAATTTGTACAACCCTTACTTTTAAATCTCGCGGCGGTTGCTCTGAACGCAGTGCCCGCAAGCTCTAGTAAGCTACTAGTTATTACTCGCGTAACTTTTCTTGAGCGATGACCTTGCTTCATCCTCTCTGGCACAACAAACAGTTAAAGACAATAGCTCGCAGCGAGCACTGATGACAACATTCCAAACACATCTTCACTGGCGCGAACTAGAAACTATTTTCTGTACAACACGATAACTTCTGTCCGTGAATTTCTCCAAAACATCTAAAGAAATGACCGGAGCAGGTAAAGATCCATCACAATAGATACCTCAAACACCTGAGAAAGTTAGAACGCAAATTATTGACAGAGTTGCGAAGGCATGACTAATTCTCCAGGGAGTGGCATTGCTTCATAAAATCTAGTGGCTGATTACCTAACTAATACCCCATCTCTACCACATTTCTTCAATCGATCGTTCAAAAAAAGTTGCTCGAGTAATACTTTGTTCGCGTCTCCGTCTCCCAAACGAGCGCCTATATTTGAACATAATAGAGAGAAAATTCAGTAAAAAGTTTTCGACCATTGTAACTCCAAGACGAAGAAAAATAGTCATGAACACTTTACGTATGAAAGACTGCATCCAACATCCAACACTTGAACTGTTAAATATATTTTTACTTAACTCTCTGATCACAGTGAAGTGAGCGGTTAATACTGGCACTAAATAATTGGTAATTGGTGATGTAATTTGATAATTTCACGCATTAACTGTCTAGCAATGCAATGGCACTCAACAGGAATTTTCTAAGATAACTTAAATAATTTATGATAATTTAAAAAAATATTATTTTTATATATTATGTTATATAGAATCGAT